ATCAATGTCCATGCTTACCACGAGCTCATCCCTATGTGGACTAGGGGAGCTCGGTATATCGGTCGGGCCGAAGGTGATTGGTTCAGTCCTGCTTTGTTTCTGGGGAGGGGGTGGATATGGAATCAACATACAGTGCTCGCTCGAACCTTTTTCATGCGGTCGGGGTATCCCCTGTTTCACTCCCTCCAAAGATGACTTTGATCTCCATTCGGGGTTTCTTCCCCTAGGCTCCCGATCCTTCGCCCTTTTCGGTCTGTTGGACGTGCACATCATTTCTGTGGTCCGGCTTCTCGCCGATCATCCTTCCTCCAGCTACAAGGTCTCTTGTTCTGCCGATGGCCTGACACAGGCCCATTTGGATCATGATTCACATACTTCTCATAGGGGCCAAAGAAATATCAAAGCCCATTGAACGCCCGAATGGCCTTTCCCAAACTGATCATGTTCCGTTCGACTATTCCCGAAAGAGATGGAATTTATACTTGGTGATGGGGAACACCTTCCACGTAGGATCAACCCAAAGGAGCCGATCAGGAAGCCTCACAAGTGGCTGGAAGCGCATTTAATGTTGGAGAATCGGTGCTCAAGTGGCAAGTATGAGTGCTCAAGTGGCAAAGAGGTCATCCACTCATGATTGGCCACGTCATCCACCTCACCTACTCACTCCTAAAATAAACAACAACATTTATTCCATTGTAAAGGGTTATCATTTTGATACTCACTTAATAATATCTCACTCTAGCTCTTGTATTAGCAACTGGTACGTCACTCCCGTTTGGCTATTTCCTTGTAATCTGGATTATTACTCTAATACAGTTGGACTATTGAACCATCTTTGCTGCAGACAATCTCTCCCATTTTCCCCTTAGGCCCTTGAATCCACATGAATTAACCTCAACAATATATATATAAAAATATAAATATAAATAAATATAAACATAAAGATATATATATATATGTGTGTGTGTGTGTGTGTGTGTGTTCATGTTTATGTTTATGTTTATATTTATTTATTTTTTATATTTTTTATATTTATATTTATATGTATATGTATATATATATATATATATATATATTTGTGCTTATATTTATATTTATATTTCTATTTTTGTTTCTGTTTACGTTTTTGTTTCTATTTATACTTCTATTTGTACTCCTATTTCTACTTCTATTTCTACTTCTATTTCACTTGAGAAAAATGTCAAATTAGCCATCCGACTTTGTACGGAAAGTCAATTATGTCCCTGTACTTTAACTTTTTTCAATTATGACCTCTTACTTTGAAAATTTCATCAAACGTGACATTTAGCAGGTAACCTGTCTGGTCAGCAGGTTACCTCCAGACATGGCACATACGTGGCGCATACGTGGCCTGACACAACGCCCATGTGGCATGCCACGCCTATTTTTATTTTTCCTTTCCATTTATTTTTTCTTTCTCCTTTTTCTTTCTTTCCTTCTCTTTCTCCGATCCCCCTTTTTTCCTTCTGCATGCCCATTTTCCTTCCTCTAAATTCTTCTGCACGTCACCCGCTGGGACAAAATTCGTCCGTCGTTCGTCGGAGAAGTGTGAAACAAATTTTAAGTATTTACTTAAAATTGATCGCAAATAATAATATGTGAGAATATTGGGTACAATCTCTAAATACGAATCCTCTGATTTTTCACTTGCAATTTGACATGAATATAATTAAAGAAATTAATTCAAAATGAAATCTTTAATCCTTCAAACGTTCGAAGGTTCTTCAGATCTTCAAATCTTCGTTCTTGAGATCGTCGAATCTTCGAATCTTCGTTCGTCGGATCTTCGAATCTTTTTGAATTAAGAATTCAACTTGAAGGGCCTCCGATTTTCAAGTGGCTTGATCTTCAACAAAAGGGCCGTTTTATGGCTTGATCTTTTGTTTAAGGGCCTCCCGGGATATATGGCTTGATCTTCAATTGAATTTCAATTCAATCTTCATATGAGTATCTTCAAATCTTCAAAGATTCGTTCTTCATATCTTCAAATCTTCAAAGTCTTGTTCTTCAGATCTTCGAATCTTCAAGCTTCGTTCTTCAGATCTTCGAACGTTCTTCAACTTTTGGATTTATTTTATTAAGAATCGACGAAATCATGAAAGATTATTCGTATATTCTTAATAAAATTCGTGGCTTGATCTATTCCTCTTCTTCGGAATCGTTCAGCGCCTTTCGGGAGTTCTTGAGAGCTTTTCTGCAGCGTTTCTTCGTCTGAAAATTCTCTCCCCCCATTCCTCTCAACTGAGACCTCTATTTATAGGTGTGGAGGGGATAAAATATGACTTAGGGTTGCATGAAATTCGTTCATATGCTCAGGGCCTCAAAGAAAATGGGCTTTGGGCTCTATTTGCTTGCATTTGATAGCTAGAAAAATCATCACTTGTTTGATGTATCTGGATAGCCTTTTTAACAAGGTTCACAGCCATTTTCCATGCATTCGGATGGATTTCTTAACCATATTCATTGCTATCTTTATCAATTGGATCGTGTCTCTTATTCATTGGGCTACTATTTAATAATGGGCTCAAAATAGAGAAATTAATAGGACCGATCCATTCTTTTAAAGATTTAATTTATAATTAAATTAATTGGATATTTAAATGACTCAAATTAATTCAATTATTAAATTTTATCCGAATGGGTCCACATTAATATTTTTATAAAACCCAACAACCATCACGAGCGGCCCAACAGAATCCGATAGTGGCCCACTAGCAAATAATATAGCCTGGTAGATTTTAAGAGCTCAGTAGCTACCATAGTTCGCCCAATAATTTTATATGTCCACAAATGCCCTCTCGAGACTTGCTTGGGTGAATATGTTTATTATCACGAACAAGTGAGTCTCGAAGATGGATCCTATAGTCCATAATTAGCCCAATTTTGCAAAAGATTTCTTTTTTAAATCAATGCACAAGATTCGCCGGATCTATTGATATAAAATTCTATTATTTCCATTAGGCTTACAAAAACTGGGCTCAATTCTCTTGTTTCATCACGGAGTGTAACTAATGCACTTCAATTTTCACCTCAATTGGAACTCCTAAAGTAGGAAATATTAACTTATTATTCTCCGTAATCAACTTCAATTGCAATTCGTACTTGCATTAACTTGGAGTCATCATCTAAAAGAATTCCAAATTGACTTCATCTAAGAACTTCTCTTCTACTAGGATTTAATCTGCCTGATTTGAGATCTATTACTGTGTATAAGTATCAACTCATCTTCTTCTCTTTTGCATCTTTAATTTCACTCCCGGCAATTTGCAAAGGCCATCAAAATTCCTGAAGGCATAAGTTCGATCAATATCTCTGAAGCTGTAAAGCAATAGGTGAATTACCTTTTCCATTCTTTATGAAGTTATTTTTCTTTTTACCATATTGCAGGGGATATGTCAAGCTTCGGAAGTTATCATGCTTGGTCAAACTCATCTTTAACCAACCGGCGTTCAAAATCCAGAGGCAGAAAATTTGCTTTCAAAATCCCAGTTGCAGAAGAAACTTGGCTGAGAGAAGGGATCTGCCATGTCAATTCGTTGCTCTTGCCTAGTGCTCTGTCCAAGAAGAACAGGTTTGGTTGATTGCGGACAACACCGAGAGCAGATCATCGCTCCTCTTACTTGCCGCCGGACTGATGGTGCTGCTGGCCGGATTGTTGGTGCCACTTGTTGGAGAGAGAAGATGCCGCCGTTCCTATTTCCGCTGACACTGTTATGTCGCCACGCCGTCAGAAATTGATCCAAGAATCCGAAATGATCTGTCAAATTGGTGGTGGCTATATTTATACAAATCAAGAAGAAAAGTAGCTGGTTGCCAGTGCCCGAGAAGATGATGGAGCTGATCTTTGTTGCTGATTTCTGGCGAGCTCTGTGTGGTCGGATGCTGATCTTGGGGTTCAATTCCGATGGTGAGCAACAGACGGAGGCTTCAAGAAGGATTGCGGGTGTCAGATGCTGCGGAAGCTAGTTGGTGTTTGGAGAAGATACTGCCAAATGAGTTGATGCTGTCGTCGAAGGTCACTAGCCGGAGAAGATGCTGGCCGGAGTTCAGTTGATGCGGCGGAGATGATGCTGGTTCGTCTATTGGGCTTCCAAATTCGGAGGAGCAAAGTAGAATTTTCCCGGAGCTGCTGAGATTGAGATGTTGCCTGCCAAAGTTTTGTTGATGCGGCAATTCAAAGTCGATTCAAGGAGGTGGGCCTGCAGTGAGGTTCTTCCGGAGTTGTAGCCATCCGTTTTATTTATTTTGACCGCTGGTGCAGAGAAGAAATTACTTGTGCTGCTCGCCGGACCGCTGGTGTCGAATGCTGAAGCCGCGCCAGCTTGTTGGTGTCGGAGAAGCTGCTGGGAGATGAGTTGATGAGATCGAGATGTTGCCGGCCAGAATTTTGTTGATGCGGCAACTCAAAGTTGATTCAAGGAGGGGGCCTGCAGCAAGATTCTTCCGGAGCTGTTGCGGTTGGAGGCGTGGCTGCAGCTTTCTCGAGAAGAAGGAAATTGATCGATGTTTCACGCGGTGCTCGTGCGAAGGAGATGACGGGAGGGTGAGGCCAATCGCTGAGTTGTTGTCGTGCTTGTTCGAGGTTCGAGGAAGACGACTGGAGAAGCCCTACACTTTGGAGATTTCCGTCGCTGCTGCATTTAGTTTTCTGAGTAGCCGTGCTCAACTGCTCATCTGCTAACAAGACAGCAGATATAAAGAAACCTTGGGCCATGGGCCTTATTTAATGGTTATTAGGCCCAATGACTATTAAACCTGCTCGAAATAAGGAAACCCAATTTCCTGCTGTTTCGAGTGATTTGCTCATGGCACCATTTATTGAAGAGGAAGGAGCTAGACCTATTGCTGGTTGTCGGTGTCACTTGGGGCCCTTTGGGTTAGTGGCACCGATATAAAGAATTAGGCTGATTGTCGATAGTCGGTGTCGCTTGGGGCCCTTGGTTGGGCTAGTGGCACCGATCTAAAGAATTAGGCCGATTGTTGATCATCAGTGCTGCTTGGGGCCCTTGGTTGGGCTAGTGGCACTGATCTAAAGCATTAGGCCGATTGTCGGTCGTCGGTGTCACTTGGGGCCCTTGGTTGGGCTAGTGCCACCGATCTAAAGAATTTCCCGATGATGTCCTGTGAATACAAAGCCCTGCTGATGCCATTTATGAAGGGCGGCTATTTCGTCGTTTATGAAGGCTGGCCATTTTGTCAGTTTGAATGATGACCACTTCGCCGGTCTGAGGGTTACAGCGGCGTCGCTTGGTACATTGTTATGATAGTGGCGCTGATAGAAGATGATGTTCGAAGCTCAACTCGATCACTTTCGGGTGAGGCGCAGACTTGAGAACTCCCACATCCCGGTATGACTTTGTTTTTCGTAACCTCTTTGCTGAAAAACTTGATTGGGTTTTGTTTTGTTATAACTGAACTCAAAAATGAAACTTTTGAGCTACATGCGTACTCCTATGAAGGAGTTCAAGTCAAACGTAGTTCATATATACCATTTGAATTGGTAATTTGAAGGGACCGTACACAGTTTTAACTTATGCGGGCCAGGAGCTTGTCGTACACATTTTTTACTCTCGTGGGACAAGATCTTGCCGTACACGTTTTTAACTTTCGTGGGCCAAGAGTATCTATGATTATGCTCACACATAGACAAAGTGAGATGTTTTAGTATTTTAGCCACTTACAACATCATTGGTGGTTTAGACATTCAACATTTTGTTTGCTTGTATGCATACCCCGACATGAAGGGTATTGTATCCTCCAAGTTGATAATGCAGGAGTTCACATATTGATCTTCATGTTGACCACGAGTGTGCACAATGGTCACTGGTTTGACTTTAAGTGGATTTCCATAGGTTACTTTCACATCGGTTTCTCGCTTCATACGAGATGGGATAAAACTTCTATACTCATCAAGGCTTTTCTTTTCGAGAGGAACTCTAGCAAATTTATTGCGTTCATGTTTCAATCCTAATCTTTCATGAACAAACTTTCTTTCAAAGTTTTGTCCCATGCACGGGTCTTCAATGTGATTTACCATCATCGGGCTCGTTCCAAGTCGTTCTTGTAAAGTCTTCTTCATAACTTTCTTTGGTTTCAGACCCAATACATCAAAGATGGCGGGCCTTGATATCCCCCCCAATCCGATCAAAGATAGAGTACTTCGGTTTAGAGGTCACTTCATCCTCTTCATCCGCACTAATTTGATGTATTGCGGCTCTATTTATGAGGATCTTTATAGGTTTAGGTTGAAGATAACCCAATCCAATGTGGCCTCGTAAGTTGATTTGCTTCGGTGTTCCTTTTCCACCGGCTTCTGGAATGAGTTTCCCCAACTTTTGTTCATTAGGATCATAGCCAGCTTTAGCAAGAAGTTTATATGCGTTTGGATCAAATCCTTCTTTCATACGTGTGTGAGAGACCTTAGCATCACATTTCTTTCCAGCTTCCTCTTTAGGGGCCTTTTGAGGAGGTTTTGATATCTCGATCTGTGCAAGAGGAAACATGAGCCCCTCCACACCTTCAACGAGCTTTTCTTTCAATTTGGGCTCAGTCAAAGGGCGATAAACATCATTCCCTTTAGAATCATTATCTTTAAACACTTTTGTCTTTAAGTAAAATTTTGCATCTGAAAAGTAGGACTCGGTCTCAGTAAATGGAGTTTCATCACCGATCACTTTCTTCACAATGCCATTTTTTCATACATAAAGCATTTGTGCCATGTTGAAGGAATTACATCGTTTTCATGGATCCACGGGCGACCTAAAAGGAGATTATATCAAGCCTTTGCATCAATGACATGGCATAGAGTGCTTGCCTTGAGCCCACCAATGACCAAATCAAGTTGTATCATTCCAATTGCCTTTTGCCCTTCTTGATTGAAGCCTTGAATCATCAAGTGAGTTTGGGAGAGTTCATCAATTGATATTTCAAGGTCTTTCATATCCCAAACTGTCAAGATATTAATAGCGGACCCTTGGTCAATCATAATTCTTTTAAACCTTTGGCCACGAGTACATCCCTCAACAAAGAGCGGGCGATTATGAGGGATGGCGCCTAACATAAGGTCATCCATCTTTAAAGAGAATATCAGTGACATAAGAGGTAGATTTGTATGTTTCTACTTCTTTTTGCTTACCCAAAATTGGTGATGAGCATATGCTTGGACTCTCAACATCCTTCTCATGGGCGCTAAGGCAAGAACTTGAAATTTGAATCATTTTGTTCTTCAAATCCTTTGGCATATAATCGTTGAGAGTAATCGGCCTTCGGGCAACCTTGGCTCGAACATGATCCTTGCTTTGCTTACTTTTCTTCAACTCATTTATCGGTTGTTGCATGACCCATTTCTTCACTACCTTCTTCGGTTGTGGTTTAGGTTTGTGGTTCTTCCTTTGTTTCTTTCGAGTCACCAAGATCCATGGTCTTCCTTTGTCATCAACATCCTCAAGTGTCATTCTTTTAGTGAGAGGAGGACATCCTTTCATTCCCTTGACAGTAAATGGGAGCTCATGCTTGTGAGAATTTAGGTCATCGTTGACCATGAACGGAGCAAACCTACCAAAAGTGATGGTAATTTGGTTTGTGCTTGCAGCAAAATCGGCGAGCTCAATCTTTCCTTGACGAGCCAGGGCCATAATTTTATCTTTCCGCACCCAACACTTTTCAGTGGGGTGACTTAAAAGTCGATGGTACTTGCAGTAATTGGGGTCATCTATCTTTGTAGCTTCCTCGGGTCGTTTGGACTCGGGCAAATCAATAAGCTTCAATCTCATCAGTTCCCCAAACATGGGAGGAACGTCAGAGTCTAAGAAGGGGTATTTCTTTTCTAGCATCTCTTCTAGAAATGGTTTAACATGTTTAGACGCCTCCAAGTCGACCCTAGGAACTTGTTTTGAATTTTGAGAGATCTTAACAGGTGCAACCTTCACGACCATTGCTTCTTTATTTTCAATCTTAGAAAAGGGCTTGCCCCCATTCTTGGTATCTTGTTTTTCAACAACATTGTTTATGGGATACATACCCATGGCTTTCCTCCCACTACTTGTGATGCTCAACTCCATGTTATGAGCTTTGCTTGTTAACTCATCGAAAGTGTTTGGATTGACTCCTTTGAGAATGTAGCACAATTCCCAATGCATTCCTTCAATGCACATATCGATAGCGGAGCTGGTAGAGATTCGTTCTTTGTAGTTTAGAGCAAGATCCCTCCAACGTTCTATGTAAGCTATCACAGGTTCATCTTTCCACTGGCGAGTAGTTGTTAGTTTGAGTAAACTGACCACCCTCCTTGTGCTATAGAAACGGTTTAAGAACTCACGTTCCATATCTTGCCAGCTATCAATGGAACCGGGCTCCAAGTCAGTATATGTGACACTCCAAAGTTTAAATAAAATAAAATAAATAATTTAATAATATAAATTATTTTAGATAAAATGTCAAAAGTAAACTTTTTATGACAGTTATAATTGATGGGATAAAACGTTGACTTAATAAGAGTGACGTTTAGCGAAGGATAATTCATAAGATGCCTGTTAATTTTGGGTGTACAGTTATTATTATCATAAACTAAAATATTACAAAGCTAATTGCCCTTTCTAATCATACGTACATAAATATACATGATATATACTTCTATCCATGCTTAAAATGTACATGATGTACATGCATGATGCACTTTCCATGCTGCAGATTACGAAAGTATATGGAAACATCGAATACAGAGCAACCAATAAAGAAAATATTAACTAACTATTTATTACACCTAAAATATTAACGTATGATTTCAACGCTTCTCGTATAGGAGTGCTGCGGAAAACTCATTAACTGAAAGTAAATGCAAAATATTGTGTAACGTATACTCTCAATGCATATGCTAAAATACGTATACATAAGCTGCGCATGATTTGCTAATAATAATAATACTTCGTATACGCTAGAAGGAAACTAACGTTAATGCTAATAATGACCGGAGGTTCTTAACATATTAACATACGCCTAGAGCCATCAACGAGCTATATAAATAGCAGCTTTGGGGACGACCTACGCTGCACCAAAACGAACGGGTAACAACCGGCGAGGAAACAAAGAAAAAAAAAGAATAGAAAGAAAAGGGAGAAAGAAAGAGGAAGTAGAGAACGGGAAGGAGAAACAAACGCTGCCGGAAGGGAAGAAGATCGCTACAGTTGGCCGGACCTTCACGCCGGAGGAAGGGGGAGGAGCTCTAGCTAGCTGCTGCGTTGCCGGGCTGGGTTTCCGCCTCCGAAGATCACCGTCGCCGAGAGACTCCCCTACTTACCGTTACCTTCCCACCATCCGTCATCCCGTAGAAGTAAGCCTGCATTTTTTTCTTTTCTTTCATTTATCCAACGTATCCTGCGAGGAAGACGGTCATCCTCCTGTTATTCTAATCTTAGGCTGGACCATCTTAATTGAGAGTTAGGCCTGTTTGCAATTTGGTCGGTAATATTAAAATACTGTTGGGTTGATTAGTGGAGGGATGTAATCATAAGCAATAGTAATAATAATCTGCAAAATTATATTATTAATGAATTGGAGTTGTTAATAGATTGGTTTTGGTTAATATGTCACTGTTTAATTCGAATAATTTCATTATAGTATGATATAACAAAATAAAAGCAATTACTAGACGGATTAATTATTCAGATTAATAGACTCACTATTTCGGTCGATGATTAATGGACTGTTTAAATTTTCGAAAATTGGATTAAAATAAAACGGAATAATGATTGTAATAACTGGACTGGTTATTTAGCCCCTCGTAGCTAACCAATCGGTATTAATAAAAAAGGGATTACTGTTGATATTAAACTGGCCGGCCTGAGCGAAAATAATAAGCAGACCATATAAATTAATAGACTAATGGAAACCTGGCAATCCCTGCTACTATCGGATTTTATGATTTTACAAGAATAATAATAATATTAATAATAATAATAATAATAATAATAATGATGATGATGAAAGTAGATTAAACAGAACGATTATAATAATAACATGGAGTATTGACATTAGACTAGTAATGAGTTATACCGTTCAGTTTTAAACATGTCACTTTAGTTAACCATTTTAAACTAAGTAAAATAGGCTGTTTTTGATTAGACATATTTGAACGGCTATATCTGGATTTTCGTAAATGGAATAAAATCATACAAGGTGATTAATAAAATGAGCACAACATAATTGGACTAAATTAATTTTTTATTTATTGATTAATGAATTAAATCAATATATCATTTGTTATTGATAATTACGGAGTAATAAAGGGTAGAGGAAATATTTATAATTTGAATGGATAATGATTTTGAAATGTTAATAATAGAAGGTGATT